CTGGATAAGCTAATATCGGACGATATTATCAGCTGGCCGATTAATCGGTCGGGCTTTAATATAAATCATTTTCATCTTACAGGTTCACGTACAGTCTATTTCAGGATGTTACATCTAACTTCCTGAAACATGATATCAAATCCTATTCAAAGAAACTAGAGTACATTTTGATTTCTGCATCTGCAGCCAGTTTTTATATTTGTAAATATGTTAATGTTTAGATTTTATTTTTTTGAACAAAATAAATATGTTACTAAATATAGATGTTAATACTTTCGTTAATAAACTGAATGGTTATTTATTTATTGAACTTGTAACAGAGAGTTTGTAAATTGTCTTATTGAAATGATTTTTAAACCTGAGGACTGGAACCCCTTCGAGAGTGCGCTCATAAGATAGTGTGTTTGTGTGTGTGTGTGTGTGTGTGTGTGTGTGTGTGTGTGTGTGTGTGTGTGTGTGTGTGTGTGTGTGTGTGTGTGTGCGCAGTATGAAATAGGAGACCTCGTACTCATGGAGCTGCTGCGCGCGCGCGCGCACACACACACACACACACACGTGAGTGGTGTGTGTGTGTGTGTGTGTGTGTGTGTGTGAGCAGAAGTAGGTCAGTAGTGAAAGGGTTCTGTCCTCACACGGCCTCTGCCCGGCCGTCACACCACTCGTGTCGACTCTCATTTTCTCTTCCCCCCTCCTCCCACTCCTCCTCCTCTTCCTCCTCCTCTTCATCTCTTTCTCTCTGATTAGGAGGGGAGCAGGTCCCACCCCTGCTTCAGACCAGTCTCTTGGAGGTTAACTCTTCGCTCGCCACTTTCTTTTCCTTCATTTTATCCTGAAAAACCGTCTCGTTTCTCCCTCCTGAGGCCGGCGGTTTTACTCGTGTTTCCACAGAGTTCACTGCCAGACCATTTGCGGCGTGTAACTGGTGTTTTTGAGGGACACCAGACGCCACAAGATGAGGCAGCGCTCGGTGCTTTAAAGGACATAAATCAACCTTTTCCCCCTGATGTGTCGTCCACAAACAGACGCACAAAAAAGTGAAAAAACTGCAGAAAAATGCTCACTGAGTTTCCAGAGAGTGAACTTCCAGGAAAGCTGGATAATGCCCAGATCTGTGAACAAATGTTGTATTACCTAACCCCCCGGCCAGCTTTACATGATTTACAGTAGAGTTAGGAGAGGCGGGAGTGCGAGCTCACACTGCCATCTGCTGGGGGAAAGAGGAAGAGCATCACAAAGCCTATAATTTCACCACACAGACGTGCCAAAACGCCCCAACATGGCTCCCAAAAATGAGAGACGTCACGGAAAAATTCACCCCCAAATCAGGCCTCAGTTTGACTGAATGATTCCTCATAAAGACCCCAGAATGTAAATGTGAGTGTGTTTGATCAGGGGTGAAAAGGTGGAGCGAGGTGTGTAACAGCAGCTGTTGGAATCTGGAGGAGAACAGTGTGTACCCTGGACTGGTTAGACTGGTTTCTATGGTGCTTCTGGTTTCTATGGCATCTCACCAGGCACTCTTGGCGAAGCTTGTGAATACCTTGAATGATTGAGGCGGGTCACAGAGGAGGAAAAAATACCATCTCAGTGTGGGAACGAGGCTGCTGCTGCGGTGTTCAGAGGAACAGACACACAGAGACATAGATGTTTGAAAAGGACGACAAGTCAGAGGAAATCATTCTGAAAAAATGTCGTAAAGATGTGAAATATTCAGCCGTGACGCCCGATGAAACAAAAATCCAGTTTTCATTTATAAACAAGCTGCTGTGCAAAAGGTCAAATGTGGTCCAACGTGGAAGTATTCTGATTATAGACTAAAATATGAGATGAAATCTTCTCAACTCAGGATTTCACCTCTGAAACGTTTATTTGGCTTTTTACTGAAGAAATTAGGCGACGCCTGCAAACGAGTTCATGCAGTCGAGCTGCACTGATTTTACACCTGACATGCCTAATTATAACCACAATCACCCGACAACACCTCCTTCCAATTAGCGCTCTATTTAAGCAGTAAGATTTCCGCTCTCTGCCTCCTGCAGCTCTGACCTGCAGCAGCACTGACTGCACTCTCGCTGCCCTGCCTCCACCCTTCATCCACCTGTAAGGTCAGACTGGGGGGTGAGGTGTAAGATGTCAGCTCATCACTCCTCAGATTTCTGTATGTAAATAAAAACCGCAAGGAGTGACGAGGTCGGAGCCTGGACGCCAAACACAAACTAAATATGTTCTGCTGCAATAAATATTTTAAACGATAGAAACGTTGAGCTGACACTGATCTATTCCCAACTAAAAGAAAAACGTCTGCTGTTTTTCAGCTCTGTTGTCTTGGATGCTATCCTGCAGAGAATTAAAGACATAGATTGAGATCATTCACAACATGTTACAATTCCACACATGCCTCGTCCTGTCAGCAGGACTGAGCTCCCCCAACCTTCAGCGCTGTGATCTGACACTACCACCCGACGTCGCTGACGCCCAGCCTCCACCATCAGACTGTGCCACCCCACAACCACCGCCGTCCTCATTCATGCACGGCCTGCTCCGACCTCCACCTCAGCGGCAAGGAAGTGTGGCCAACAGGAACAAGAGGAATACAAAGGAGAAATCCTTCCTGCATGTTATTTTACATGCTCTTTTGTAAAATGTTTCGACATCACACTTGTTGATTGATTGACATAAAAACACTTACAGCGGTAAAATGTTCCGTTCTATGAAATGCATCATTTTAATATTATCATATTAATACAATTACAGGGCTGCACGGTGGTGCAGTGGTTAGTACTGCCCCTCACAGTGAGAAGGTTCCTGGTTTGAATCCCCGTCTGACAAGAGCCTCTCTGTGTGGAGTTTGCTTGTTCTCCCCGTGCATGTGTGGGTTCTCTCCAGGTACTCCGGCTTGCTTGGGTGGGGTTGGGGTGAGGTCTGGGAGCTAAAACAGAAAAGGAGCAGCCGCTAACTGTGGTTGTTTTAAATTATTTCTGAGACGTCAACAACGACCCTCTTCCTACATCCACATCTAACATGCAGCTCAGAGGATGAAACGGGCCGTCACAAAGCGGTCCACTTCCTGTTTGAGCATGGCTGCGTTCACATCTCCCGTGGAGCGTACCGCGTGGACCGTGGAGCAGTACCAGAGTACATGGGTCAAAGGTACTCAGATCCAGGCTCCTTAATGTGACATCATCCTAAATCTCATAAAGTTCAGACACTAAAATGTGAAAATGAAGAAAGTTAAAAAAAGAGGCGGCCTCTAGATTTAAAACAGGTTTATTTTATTTCTTTGCTTGCAGACAAAAAGAAGATATCCATGAAAGTCCAGATATAATAAATAAATTAACTACTAAAAAGTGTCGGCTGTTAAAGCGTTTAAAAGACGGCAGGAAGGCGAGAACTCTGCGAACGTGCAGAGCTCGTAAAGGATCGCACGCCGCTGCTCAAATCAACAACAAGCCCCCAAAAAGAATGCCTCTGATTGGACGCCGCTCTACCTGCAGATTGTTCTGGGACGTTTGCATATGCTAAAAGGGTCCGACACGGTTCAGAGAAAGCGATATAAAAGCGTTTTTTTTTTTCTATTTTTCAGCCCACGTATGAAAAGTTAAAAAGTTCCCCGGAGGAAATGAAGCGAGTGCTCGTGGTTTCTCGTCCTGTTGAAAACCTGAACGAAGTTTTTTTACTAGTTCACCCGTATTGAGCAAATAAACGCACTAATATCTACGTCTTCTTCTTAAAGTGATGCATTAACTTTGGTGGCGAGGATAAAAAACAAAAAGAGGAAACGCCATCGTCGTCACTCGTCGTTTCATGCGTACAGTATCGAACTCTGTGGAAAGTAAAAAGTGTAAATGTCACAATCTTACCGAGTTTGTAACTTAACTGACTGAGGTAAAGTTGCCTGTTTCCTGAAGAAGAGCGCACATACACATATCTTCGCTTTGTTTGGGTTCAACTCGGAGGATTCTGAAAAAAAAACTTGAACACTAACGCTGAACTTTTTTTAAACGACTGGAAAGTTTGAATCATGACTTTTAAAAACCGTACGAGCTGAACTTTAAAGGAAAAATCCACCTGAAGAATCTATTCATTCTTTTAAAGGACCAATCGGTAAGATGTGTAGTGAGTGAAATGATAAAGTGACCTTACTATATGATCAAACATTAAAGAAACATGCTATGTTGAAGTGTTGGATTTGTTTGGACCAGCGAAGGTAGGCGGTTTTAAGGCACCCCCACACGGACGTTTTGGACGCCCCTCGGTTTGCCAGATATAAGACCAGTTATCAGGTCAAACCAACAGGTGTTGCAGCGATGGAAGCGGACAAGAGAAGTGGTTCAGATAGAAGTGATTGTACCCGACCTAAAAAGCCTCTGCATGTTTCTAATAAGCTCCACGAGCAGAAACGTGCTCAAACTAGGATCAATATTGGAGATGCTTTTGAAAAATGGAGAGAGGTTAGAACGCAGAAAGGTTTACAGACCCATGCAGAGCTGGCTAAACACTAGGGGGGGGGGGGGGAGACAGCTCTCTACAATGTTTAGAATTTGGAATGCAGTACCCAATTTAATCACTCGGGGGCAGAGTTACATATTGCTCCTTTAATGATCGATGATAAAGTATCGAAGCTTTGAGAAAGCTTCAGATCTACAGCATATATCATATCAAAATTCTGTAACTGTAATAACTGTTACAAATACTGATGGATCGGATATCGACCCGTATAAAATGTCGGGCTGAGGCGAATAAAGGGTTAAATGAAGGACTGCGGTGGATTTTTCCTCAAAGTGCTTTGTCTGTTTTTCTTTTCAGGTAAATTCACAAACTGACGTTGAAATTGAACGGACCCAAACGCTGGCTAACTTGTGAATGATTGCCACATTTTAAGTAACCATGACAAAAATATTCAGAACAGTAAAATGGATTCAGTCCCCGTTACGCCACACGGTGTTCAGATTTTTAAACAAATCACTTGAAAAAAATACAAAAAGGTTCCAAACGTGACGTGGAATTCAACCAGCATGGTTTTCTTTTTTTTATTTAACAGTCTTATAAACAGAATGGCACTAGTCTGAGTTCTTCTATTCACAAAAAAACAGGAGACATTTGGGATTTAAAAACCTCCGAACAGTAAAATGTTTTTATCGTCGGGTTCGGGGCGAGGACGTTCCCTTGAGAAAAACGTTTTGATTTCATGAGGAGTCCATGCGGCGTCTCACCTCTTAGAAATGTTTTGGATGCTTTATACAAAGTTTAAAATATTGTTTATAAGAAAGCCTCGTTGTTTGTGCAGCAGCCGAGCTGGAACTCACTCTGGTGTTGGCGGCGTCGTCCTGCACGCTAGTTGGTCCCCACAGAAAAACAAACTTCCTGCAGCTTGTTGTCCGTTATATCGACTCAGTGTTTCTCAGCTGATTGGGACCCAAAGTTCATCCTGAAGGCACAAACCTGTCGTTTTAGTAACATGCCATCTTTTGAGCTGTGACCCTGTCTGAGCATCCTGCGGCCATCTTTGGGTCCTGAGCCACCAGCTGAGAAAGACTGATCTCTTCCTGTGTGTCGTCTCCAAGGCAGGGTGAGCGACGTCGAAGCTGCAGAGGACAGAGAAGGAAAAAAGAGCACCCAATGAGTGGTAGCTTTCTGCACCTTTAAAGGTCCCATATTATGCTTTTTCTGGTTTTGTATGCTCTTTAGTGTGTTTTCCATGTGTCCTGTGCATGTTTAGGCACATCTATGTGCAAAAATTAAAAGTCCGCGGAAACGCGGCTTCTCCTACGTCCTCCTGTTAGCTGTAGCATTAGCCGCATGTAACGCTCGGTTCTAGCCCCCCTCTATAAAAATTTGTCAGTGTGAGATCACTATTCTAAGTCTATTGGCTCGTTGTGGCAAGCCCTGCAGCTCATGTTGAAATTTCCGAGACACGCGCTGAGCAACTGACCAATAACGACAGAGCGGATCGGCAGACCAATCAGAGCAGACTTGGCCCACGTGGGGTCTAACAGTGTGGGCTCAACAGAGTGTAGCTGACGGACTCAGAGTGTAGAGGGAGCAAGGAGGAGCAGTATATGAAAACAGACACTTTTTTCGAACTTTAGCTATTGTGAACGTACAAAAGTAGGTACATAGATTAAATATACGAACCCCAAAAAGGGCATAATATGGGCTCTTTAAAGGTCACATATCCTCCTCCTCTTCAGTGTAAATAAGTCTCAGAGCTCCTCAAACATGTCTGTGAAGTTTCTTGTTCTAAATCCACTCTGATCCTGTATTTGATCATGCCTATAAACCCCTCTATTTCAGCCCTGCTCAGAACAGGCTCTTTCTGTGTCTGTACCTTTAAATGTAAATGAGCTGTGTCTGACCACGCCCCCTCTCTGGAAGGACTTGGGTGTCTCTGGCTTTCTCGCTCCATGTCCTATTGTTTACAGTGAGAAGGCAGACTCAGAGGCACAACAAACACCTAGCTGTGGGAGTGTCACCCACCTGGGGGAGGGGTTACTGCCCTATGTGATGTCATGAAGGGAAAATCTCCAAACGGCCTGTTTGAGCACACATTTTCAAAAAAGTGGAGCAGGCAGAAGACGGAGAGGACTTTTCTCATCACTGGGGGTTTGTAGACGGACTAGATACACATATTAGAGTTAGAGAAACACAGGGAAGTGGATTTTACAGAATATGTGACCTTTAATATACTTTTATTTGGATCAGCATGGTTTTTATACCGAGCTGCTTGAAGCTTCTCTTACAAGAAACGTCTCCCTAACCGCCAGAGAAACAGCCGTTTGATAATCACAATTCTGATTCAAGTAAAAATGCAATTATATTGATGCCTGTTTTGATATTGCTGCAACCAAAATACAAGTCAGAGACTCCTAATAACACCTAATATTGGGTAGTCTTTTGGTGCAGGACCATAGACTGTCTGCACACCACGGCTACAACCTCTGTGCTCGTAATTGCACGGCTGCATTAAGTAACAGGAGATGCAGAGGACGCTCACCTGTCTGCTCATGTCTGCTCCTCTGCCTCAGGCTGTGATTGGCTGACACCTTCAGACTTGTCCTGGATGGTTCCCTCCTCCTTCTCCTCTTCGACTCTCTTCTCCTCCTCCTCCTCTTTTTGTTCCTCCTCGATGGTGTCTTCATCTGTGGCGTCCTCTCCTTGTTCTTTCACCTTCATCTCTCCTTCACTGTCTGCGTGCTCTGCTGCTGATGCTTCTGCTACAGTCCCCTCCTCCTCCTCCTCCTCTTCTTCTTCTTCCTCCTCCTCCTCTTCTTCCCCCTCCCCCTCCTCCGCCTCGTCGTCGCTGAAGGGCTCCTTCCCCTCCTCTACCCTCCTGGCGGTCTCGGAGAACCAGTCCCTCACCTGCTCGTAGCTCATGCTGGACTTTGTGACCAGGTCGTCCAGATCTCTCTCGCTCAGCGCTCGATATTTGAGGTAGTACTCCTTCAGAAACGCCTTACCGGACTTCACCTGAAGGGGGCGCAACAACAAACAGGCGTAAGTGTTACAAACCTCCAACATTTAGAGAAACAAGCTCGCCGTCCTATCAGAGACTAGACGAGAGGATTGAAGTCAGCGGTGTCTCTCAAAAAGGAAACCGAGTGTACATGACCACACAGACCTTGATGGCGATGGCGCCCCCTTGTGGAGATCGTTTGCAGGGATATGGCCGACGTGACCTCCTGGACCAACCACGGAAACGCTTCCTGGACTTCTTCTGGATCTTTGCCCCGCCGTTCAGCGCCTCGTCCACCTTAAATCGAAGTCAAAGGGAACAAAATATTCAGAAACATAGGAACGGTTCTATTGCTGCTACGATTCCTCCTCGAACTAACATCATGAGAGGGTTTTTATTTGAGGTCATTTTTAGCCTGAACGAGAGTTTCTGGTTGAACACAGAAACCGTCTAAAGTAGGGATAGGCAACTTTGGTCATCGAACCACATTGGCCACATTTCTTTCATTCTCACTTCCAGAGGGCCAAATTATAGTTTCCAAAAACAATTACAATCAATTATGTCTCAAATTTAACTCAACTTATACTGGTGATCAAATATTATTATGGACATATTTCTGGTTCTCATGATTTCATGGCAAATTTTGTCATGTTTTCTTCAATTAATTGATATGTAAAAGTTGAACTGAGGGCCATGTTAAGGGTTGATGAGGGCCGTATGTGGCCCCCGGGCCGCCAGTCGCCGACCCCTGCTCTAAAGGCTCTGGACAACGAGGAGAGAGAGAGACACGTGTCTTCAGATTCATCTTTATCTGAACATAAAGGTCTAAAGGAAAGGATCAGTGTGACCTCGGGACCTCTGGTCATTTGTAATAATCGCGGAGGTCGTCTGTGTTTTTAATCCCGCGTTCATCGACCACGTCTGTAACCTGTAAAGTAAAAACACAGGGCGATTGATCGAGGATATTTCAGCCCACGGAGCTCCTCAGACTAAAGTCATCCCGTCTCAATCGGAATCTCAGAAGCTGTTATTTTTGTTTTTAAGAAGGTTTCTGCGTTTTTTTTTCTGTCCATTTGATCGCTCGAAAATAACGGTGGCTGTGCTGGACGCCGTGCAAATTCAGCCGGCTCATCACGCCACACAGCACGGAGACCGATTCAAAGAAGGAGGAAACTTAATGCCATCAGAAAGAGGACGGAGAGAATAACGTGTTTGTAGTCGCTCGTTGTTAGTGTACCGATATGTGTGGACGTCATCTTCTTCAGGCTGTACGCTGTAGAGTGTGATGCTGCCCCCAGAGGCGAGGTGGTTATCCTACAGCGCCTCAACGTTTTCGATCACAAATGTGATTTAACCGCCGGCTACTGTTTTGTGAATCGGCCTGAAGAGCGCAGAATAACGCTTGCAGCAGCAGCAGACATTTTTTGAAATGAAGGTTTGAGAAGAGCCATGTTTTGGGTCGCGCTGGTGGCGCAATGGTTAGGGCCATGTGACCTGCATGGTGCGTCCCATGTATTGAGACTCTCATCTCGAGTGGTAGGCCCGGGTTCGCTTCCACCTGTGGCCCCTTTCCGCATGTCATTCCCCGCTCTCTCTCCCTGGTTTCCAACTCTATCCACTGTCCTATCTCTGCATTAAAGGCACGAAAAGCCCAAAAAATAAATCTTTAAAAAAAGAAGAGCCGTGTTTTAACAATGGGGACGCACCAGCCGACCCCTCTCTCTCTCTCCTACATGGCGGCCCACCAAGGGGTTGTCTACGTCTGAGAAACACTCCCCATACAAATCGCCGTGGGAGTAGCGCCTTAAAATAACAATCACAGTGACGTCCAGCTGGTAGAAGAAGACACGTGGGGCGCTGGTGGCGCAGTGGTTAGTGCGCGCGCCCCGTCTATGGAGGCTATGGTCCTCCAAGCGGGTGGCCCAGGTACAAATCCTGCCTGTGGCTCCTTTCCCATATGTCATTCCCTACTCTCTCTCTCTCTCTGATTTCTGACTCCATCCACTGTCCTTTCTCTCCATTAAAGGCACAAAAAAAAAAAAAAGAAAGAAGAAGACGCGTTACCTTCCCGCTCTGGTAGAGGTAGTACCACTTCAGGTTGCTGTTCTTGCAGGCGTAGCGGGTGTCTCCAAACCAGTTCACGATGTCTGTCCTCGGCAGCCCGCTCTCCTCCGCCATCTGGTCGTACTCCTCCCCCGTTGGCCACTGTGTGCGGACGAACGCCTTCTTCAGGATGTGGAGCTGCTCCGGCCTCTTCTTCACCGCCTTCCTCCCGGCGGGTGGAGTGGTCTGACGATCCAGAGCCGAGGATGAAGGCACGCCGGCTGGTTTCACCTTCTCGCTTCCCCCCTCACCATCTTCGTCCTTTATCCAAAAACAGAAAGGCATTTTCCGCCTCTCGGTGAACCAGGCGTCCACCTCTCGTCGCGTCAGCTTCGTTTCCGCTCGCAGCCGGCTCAGCTCCTCGTCTGACGGCGTGTCTGAATTCTGGTAGCTGGCCTCGAGGACCAGCAGCTGCTCCTGAGTCTTTTCTTTGAACTTCTGTGGCGTGAAGTCGGGGAAGGCGTGGCGGAATTTGACCCTTGGGTCGCTGGTGGAGCTGGACGACCCCGGAGCGTTGGCAGAAGTGGGGGAGGAGTCGCTGGCGTCGTCACTGGAGTCGATGACGATGGTGGTGGGGGTGTTGTTGTTGTCGCTGCTGACGCTGTCGTTCAGGCTGCCGCTGTTGTTCCTTCCTCCTCGCCCTCCTGAAGGTGGCGCTCCCCCTTTTATGGGCGAGGATTCGCTCAGCAGGACTCCGTGGTGGTCCCTGGAGTTCCTCTGGTTGTAGCGAGTGTCACTGAACCACTTCTTTATCGCTCGTTTGGAGAGCTGTGTGACCTGCATGAGCCGCGATATCTCCGCCTCGGTGGCAAACTGCCTCCTGCCGTAGCTCGCCTTCAGCTCGGCCAGCTGCTCCTTGGATTTTTTCGGTTTGCTTGCTGTTGAATCCAAACTGAGCGGCGTGCTCATGGACGAGGCCGACAGCTCTGTCTTTGATTCTGACGCCGTCGGCTCTGCGGCTTTTGGCTGGTTGCCAGGGACGCCTGCGACTGTCAGCGTGATGGGGGATGCGACGGGCATCGTGCCGCCGTTCCCGGTCACCTGAGTAAGGACGAGCCCCGGCTGGCCCACGATCTGACACGTCTGGAAGATGGACTGGAGGCCGTTTGTTGCTGCGGCGATGTTGGCAGGGATGACGGTGATGGTCTGAGGGACAGTCTGCACCGTGCCGTTAAACTTCTTCCTCCTCGCCTCTTCCACCTGGAGAGAAGACAAACAAAAAGAGCGTGCAAGTTACCTCGTGGTTATATGAACACAGGGAATAAGAAACATAAAGTGTTGTTACTCGACAGGTTTTCTTTAATTTGACTCTTTTATTGTTCCGCAGGTTTAGGCGCCACATTGTTGACGCTGTAAAGAGTTAAAAAGTTAAGCTGTGTGTTGGCGTGTCGTGGTGAGAAAGCGTGTGGTGAAGCACCGACCTCCTCCGGCGTCCAGCTGACTCCGTGTTTCAGCCTCTGTGCAGAAAACCAAACTTTGATCTGCTCCTCGCTGAACTTGGTCTGAGACGACAAACCCATGATCTCTGAGACCGAGGGGTACGGAAACCTGCGAGGGACAAAATCAAAGAGGGACTGTTAATTTAATGACAAGCTGAGCTGATGGATAACGAGAGAGATCCTAGATCGAGCATTTTCAAGAACACTTTAAAGGTCAAATATTAAACAAAATCCACTTCACCATGTTTCTCTAACTCTTATATGTGTCTCTAGTATGTCTACAAACCCCCCAAATAATGAGAAAAGTCCATCCTCTCCGCCTTTTATCTGCTCCACTTTTCAGAAAATGTGTGCTCAAACAGGCCGTTTGGAGATTTTCCCTTCATGACATCACAAAGGGCAGAAACCCCTCCCCCAGGTGGGTGACACTCCCACAGCTAGGTGTTTGTTCTGCCCTCTGAGTCTGCCTTCTCACTGTAAACAATAGGACATGGAGCGAGAAAGCCAGAGACACCCAAGATCTTCCAGACAGGGGGCGTGGTCAGACACAGCTCATTTACATTTAAAGGTACAGACACAGAAAGAGCCTGTTCTGAGCAGGGCTAAAATAGAGGAGTTTATAAGCATGATCAAATACAGGATCAGAGTGGATTTAGAACAAGAAACTTCACAGACATGTTTTGAGGAGCTCTGAGACTTATTTACACTGGTTGAAGAGGAGGAGAATATGTGACCTTTAAAGAAGAACTTAAACCTCTTGGAACATTTATAATCCTGTGACTGCCCCTTTAAAAGCCCCCTCAGGTGCGGTTACCTGTTGTAAGCGCTGACCAGCAGGACGTTGCTGTCCATGGTCGTGTTGTAGGTGGGGATGCTGCTGATGGGGATGAGGAGCTGCGTCTGCGTTTGCGTGCAGTTCTGCTGACATTGCAGAGCCGACAGAACCTGAGCAAGCGTCCCAGGAGGCAGCACGCCGCCGCCGCCTGACCCGCCTTTTATCTGCAGCATATTTGAGCTGTTGACCACGATGCTCTGTGGAATGGCTTGGACTTGCAGCGGTGTGGAGAGGAGGCGTGGGGCAGCGGTGGCGGTCATCGGGGCAGGAGACAGAGTGGGCGGCTCCTTGTTCTCGTCGTCCTCGTCATCGCTCTCCACTTTGATGACATCGCCGACGGTCATTTTGTGTGCGGCGGAGGCAAACTTTTTCGGTTCCATGCGGCTCTTGATCCTCATGATGGGCGTCTTGCTGAGGGCGATGCCTCTGCGGAACGTCTCCTCGTCGTCTTCCACTTTGACAAAGCTGCCGTCGAAGGTGAGGTCGTTGACGGTCTGCTGGAAGACGGTCTCGTTGTTTCGCTTCACCATCGTCCTCGTAAAGTTGTCCTCGCCCGGGTGGAGCCGAGCATTGTGGGCCAGCAGAGTGTCGTAACTAGACAGAGAGAAAAACACGAGTCATTGCTTCGTTCATAAAGAAACATGGCATGAAAGTGAAGAAAAGTGCAAAAAGCGTGCAACAAATATCTCAGGACAGAAATGACCACGGTTAAAGGTTTCTTCCTCTGACACTCAATTCCTTTTGTTTCTACATTTAGAACTTTATTATTATCAGTCAAGTTTTTATTTCAGCCAGTGACAGTGGTTCTCAAAATGTAATCTGTTGGAGAAGGGGAGTATCACATTTTTGCTGTTGCTATTTGCATCATATAAAAGTTGATGACCCCTGACCCCGTCCCCTCAAACACACATTCAGTAAACACGTGTGTGCGTGGTACCTCTTAGTGTGGTAGTCACACTCCATGCAGACGTAGGACGTATTGGTGACCACGTCAGGATGCTCCGTGTCCACGTGCATGGTGAACAGGTTCAGCTCTGACGTCTGGAAGCTGCAGTATTTACACTCGTAGCCTCCTTCGGCCATGTTGGATTCATGGTAGTGGTCAGACACCGACCTGATGTCCACGTCATCGCCCCGCTCCTCCGAGAAACCGGAGACATCTGAGGAGACAGTCGCCACGCCGTTACTATCCTCAGGTTCCACTTCCTCCGTGACGTCCTCCATCTCCTGATCCGAGTCGACGGCTTGTCTCGGAGGAACCATGCAGGGGATGGTCGACTTCCTCCTGCTCGCCATTCTGATGTCTGCTGAGCGCTGCGACAAGCTGAGTACTAAAACACGTTCTCAGTTCAAGTTATCCTGGTTGGGCGCCATAAAGATGGACGTCGTCAGTCGAAATGTTTCCCCTCTACGTCTCAATCCCTGGAGACGAGAAAGACAAGTTTTAAAGGGACGTAGAACAAACCAAAGCTGAAAGGTCAAACGCTTGTTCACGGCCATGATCAGACGTGAAACTTAAATCGGACTTAATTAGTTCAGTTGCAAAGATTGTGATGCATATGATGCAAGATAATGTCACGGTATTAGCTGGAGGCAAAACAAAGCTAAACTAGAGGGAAGTTCTGCTGTAGACTGTAAATATGAATGGATGACGCCTGAGTGACGTCACCCATCTGTTCCTGCAGGGGGCGCTGGAGTCCCATTGATGGCGGTCTCTATGCTGGAAATGTCAACCTAATGACAGGCTGAGAGCTGTAGCGAGGCAGGTTTTGAGCCTCCTGACAAACTGTTACACCGCGCCCGCCTGTCAATCAGGTCAGCTACACGCCTTATTGTGAATAACTCTTATTCTTCATCAAATCAAAACTGATGAGTCATCAAAACATTCACCCCCCATACAGTGTGTGCCGATCGAGACATGAGCTAATCAGACCTATTTGTTTTGTTTGGCTGTAAACATCTCTGCTGTAAAAACAGGCTTTTTTGAATAGGTGTGTATGTGACATCCTGTGCTTCTGCAGCCAGCCTCTAGTGGACACTCGAGGAACTGCAGGATTTGCACTTTTTCAACACCGCAGGTTGCTGCTTGGTGATTCTGCTTCAGCTCTTTACGTCAAACAAGAGAAGTCAGAGCAGATAGTGCCCTCTTCTGGTTACAAAGAGTATTGCAGTATTTTGTCAAATCAATTTAACTCATCCATATTAATCGAGATTTACAGAATGATATGGTGCGCATTAGATATGTTGTTTTACTTTTTGGGACTTCAGCGGCTCCGTACTTCTCGATCAAACCATCAGTAAAATAACATACTGGATCATAGGAAAAATAGTGGCATCGAAAAACTTACTCTGAGCCATTTATAATAACAATACTACTAATAAATAATAATAATAAGATTATATTTTATCTATATAGCATTCACACACACACACACACACACACACACACACACACACACACACACACACACACACACACACACACACACACACACACACACACACACACACACACACACACACACACACACACACACACACAGTTAGCGTACTGAACGTTGTGTTCAGCGGGTCATTTCTCCGTGAGTGGCCGCAGACATGTGACCAGATGCGGGGTGTAATAACGCAGTAACACCGGAAACATCCCGCTGTCTGTCAGGTGTGTGTTTACCTGGTGATCACCCGCATCCTGAAACAAATAGTTAGCTTGCTAGCGGCTGTAGCTTCGTAGCATCCCCTGGTGTTGATGCGCAGTCTTCCGCCTTTTACCCGAACACACCGAGGATCCATCTGCTGCTCTCCCGGACACAGAGCCTCTCCGCCGGCCGGGGATCAGCCGCGAGCCGACCGTTAGCTCCGGGTTTAGCACGCGCCGCTACGACGGAGCATTTTAAACTCTGATATTTAGTTAATAAAAGGACAGTTTAATAAAAAAGCCACCGATAGTTCACCGAGACTGACGATGGCCATTTTTCATCCCTCCGCTTCAAGTCAGAGACGACCGAGAAGTACTTCCTGTTTGAGCCCTTCAACATAAAAGCTTCAACTATCATACACACCAAAAATGCAGAAAAAGGAGTTAAAAACATAAAAGATATCACTACGAATACCAATGACTGAATAAATAATTAAAACTTTGTTTTTTTAAAATATTTTGTTCTATTTTTCTGTTTGCTTTTATTGTCTGCTGTTAAGTACATTGTTACCTGTATCATAAAGTTCTAATGAAGCAGAGGATTTTCTGGCACAACTTCACCAACTAACAAGGTGCACGAAGAGCAAAATGCGTAGAAGAGGTCAAAAAGCTCCAGCAACATTTGTAGCATGTATATCAACTTTATTAACAAATTAGACTGACACGTTTCGGCTAGGGGCCTTCATCGGGGTCATCCATGAAGGCTATTTTCTTAGTTTGGTGTTTTCTCTAAATATAAACTTTTGTTATATTTCAGCAATAACTATTTCAGCATTTTTTTGTACAACAAATCCCAACCTTTTATTTTGAAAGTGTTTCTTTAAAGCGGAGTCGACCCTCGGCGCAGTGACGTAAGTTTGACAGATGAATTTAAAGGTTGACGTCGGTGCGTGTTGACGTCATAGACAGCCGACAGGAGCGTGTTCCGGAGTAGCCCGTGTTTTTATGTAGTTATGCAAGAAGTTCTAATAAACACAAAACAAGATTTACGTTATGTTTAATTTAATTCTTTATAAATGTTAAGTTCATTTTCTAATTTCAGTGAATAATTTAAACACAATAACAGGACATACATTAATCACTTTTGTCTGTAAATACTGAAACACTGTCCAGGAATAAACTGGAGCAGGAAGAAGAAACCTTATAACACCTGCTCCTTATTTTAAAAACAACTGAAGTTACTGTTGATACAGAATCTGACTGACTGCGGTGGCTAGGAAGTACAAAACCAAACTCTTCTGCAGTGGAAGGACGTCTGTAACCGAGCTCCTACTTTCTTTTTACCTCTCAGCTCATCAGTATGTATGCTGTGTGTATGGTGTGGCCAAACAGCGCCTTTCTGAAAAGTTGAAAGATTTTGGCCGCATAAAAAAGGCGGAGCTTCCGGAAAAAAGACACTTGGCACTGCGCTTTTTGTCCAGGCGGGACGACTGCTGCTGAGATTCACTCTCTACTCACTGAAAAAAATTGAAAAAGACGCTGGCGCTCAGAAAAAAACGCTCCGTGCCAGCTGAACAGAAAACACCAAAAAGTGTTTTTATGTGACGTCAGGAGAAATGTTATTCATGATACATTTAAATTAATTAACTCTGCAGGGTCGTAAAGAGAATGTGTCATGAACAGCTTTAAATGAGGAGTTAACAGCGTTGTGTTTGAATGCACTCAGTTTTTATTAAGATCAACTCGCAGATGGTCAACAGAAGCTGTCGATTTCTTTCTTCATGTCCTGGAAAATAAAAAAACGAAAAACGATTTTTGTTGACATGAAGCCTGCGTATATTTGTTGATGAACCCTGCTGCTGTGTTTGTCGTCGTACCTGAACCATCTGCGTCTTGTTGTAGCTGTCTCTGTGTTTGTAGATGCTCTGAGCCAGCAGAGCGTAAAGCTTCTCCAGCGGCTCCACCTCGGCGCCATCGGTTTTAACCACGACTCTGCTGAGGAGATCCTAAAAAAAAAAACACATGACACAGAATCACTCTTTAACCACCATCCCGTCACTATGAGGTTGTTTTAAACATGCAGCATGTTTGAACTCTGCAAAAACAAGAACTCATTTTCAGGCCTGATGCTGCTCGTTAACAAACCTCGTTAACGAGCCAATCGGGGCTCAGTCGGCAGGTTCAATATATATTTAAATAATAAACATGTTGCCTTTCATTAAAGTTGACCTAGCCTTTTAAACTCTCATATAGAGCTTCAACGCTGGATGTCCAAACTAAACGTGGGCAAAGATTAAAAACGTATGTGGGAGTAATCTCAGGATGAGTCTGCAGAGGGCGCTAAATGCTGACATGAGACTGAGAATATCAGGAGACAGCTTCAGGCCTCTTCGTAGGCGGTGAATCCTCCTACATAGACTCTCTTCTCCCAGACCTGGAGAGCGTTAGACTCACCATCAGCTTGTTGTGATCGACGACCAGCCGCTGTGTTTCCTCGTCCAGGTTCTCCTCAGATCTGCCTCTGCTGAACATCTGCATCTGCTCCAGAGCCGCTTTGTTGGCTCTGCTCTCGGACCTGGGACACTTCTCTGAGGAGGAGACACAAGAGGAGGAGACAGAAGAGGAGGAGGAGGACGAGAGGAGACACAAGAGGAGGAGACAGAAGAGGAGGAGGAGGAAGAGAGGAGACACAAGAGGAGGAGACAGAAGAGGAGCAGGAGGAGACAGAAGAGGAAGAGGAGGAGGAGGATGAGAGGAGACAGAAGAGGAGGAGACACGAGGAGGAGAGGAGGAGACAGAGGAGGAGGAGATGGAGAGGAAGAGGACATGGAGAGGAGACACAAGAGGAGGAGGACATGGAGAGGAGGAGGAAAGGAGGAGGAAGACATGGAGGTGGAGGAGGACAAGGACATGGAGAGTAGGTGAAGAAGGAGGAGACACAAGAGGTGGAGACAGAAGAGGAAAAGGAGGAGGAGGAGCACATGGACAGGAGGGGTTAGAGGAAATGTTCTTAAAGCAATTTAACTTTCATGAAGATCAGGAGGCCAAGCGGGGATCAAACTTTGCAGATGTTCACAGACACAGTCAGCAGGTTAAGACGAGCAGGAGCCGAGTTTTCATGTTTAGACAACAAGAAGCAGTCAGGACAAAATGTCAAAGAGGATTTTTAGATTTTCCTTCCTTTGATTTAATAATAAAAACATTTTTTGTATTTTAAATTTTGTCCCAACAGCCTTACTGCCACGCCGGACAAATCGGAGCAACAACAAAGAGACACTCTGACAGTTCTAGCCTTTAATGCTACGTGTTGTTGGACATCTTCAAGGTATAAACAAAGAGCAAAAAAGAAAAAGTCTGGATAAAGTTGGGGTATACCAACGGTATTTTGTGCATGGGTAGGAAGACGCTCTATGAACAGACCTCTGTGTTTGAAGTTATTGAACAATCCTCTTTAGACTGTAAACAAAGACAAATTCAACTTATATCTTTAAACTGGACATCGTTTGGTGTTTATCAGAATAACTTCTACCTGAATATCTGCAGTCAGCTGTGAGACTCTTTCCTCTCTGAAGCTCATGAAGGATTCATTTGGTCTTTTTGTTGAACCTTTGTTGTGAAATGACTGACTGTAGACTAACCCAAAATCTCCTCATGAAGTGCTCTAACTGTTGATTTCTTTTAGGGTGCAGCTTTGATAAAAGACTCAGAGTCAGTCTGCTTTGAAGCCTGGAGCCCTGCAGGTTGAAGCTTGTTCAGAAGCAGAAGCAGCGCTCAACCGTCACTTTACATCTGCAGAGCTTTGAAGCTGCGGCGCTCGGCCTCAGTCCGGTGCGAAGCGGTTAGCAGAGCGTCTTTTCTGCAGCATCATCTCACACATACAGACCTGTTGTTCTCAAACAAACCCCGCTCACCATCCTCCTCCTCTTCAGGGGGGTCTTTGAGGTGCGGGTTCGAACCCTCAGGATGCTGTTTGGTTTTGGACGGTGGTACCCGTTCAAGATTCCATTCTGCATATCTGCAATGCCGTTTGAGTGGACGTAACGGCCATTTGTGGCAGCTGCTGGTCGGCCCCGCTCCCTGGAGCTGCTCTCTGACAGGTCACATTCAGAGTTACCCCTGCTGGAAAACGATGAGGGAGAGGAGGAGGACGAAGGGGAGGCATGGACGGGGTGCTTCTTTTTCTTGGGTTTTGGTATGATGCCGGTGCTCCACTTGGATTTCCTCGGTTTGAAACGCTTTTTCTTACGAGCTGCAGGGAGACACGGGGGCGGGGGGGCAGGGAGGTGAATTAAAAAGCAGGAGGTGAAAACTGGAGGAGGCTGAGGGCACTCAAACCTCCTCTAACTCCTCTCGATCTCCTCCTCTTCATCTCTTGACCTTTTCATTTGATCAGAACTCTTTCTCCTTTCTCTGTGATTTGTTTGTTTTGATTATAAAAACCATCAATGTTTAGCATAATTAGGGGTGTGGCTGAGCTGACCGACGGGAGGGCGTGTTCACTTTGTTTAAATCCTGTTGCTAGCCTTAAACTGAGGGCTTTGTTCGTGATGTTTTCATTGTTTGGAATATTTTGGCTCGATTGGTGTGTTTCTTCAACTATGATATTCATTCCACCATTTAAGCTCCGCCTCCTCGTCTGCTTCTCCATAATTTTTACTACGACTAGATCGCCTCATTAGGCTTCATAACGACTCGCCGGGAACCACTGAGACTACATCCAGGTTTTATACAGTCATTGGTCGTTCCTCAGAGCCGACTCACCTCCGGGGCTTCTGGTGGAGCTATAGACGCCGCCAGTTTCGTCTGAGAGCGCCTCAGTGCCGCAAGAAGCTAGAGGAAAAATGAAAGTGTTTCATGAAGATTAGAGATTCAGAGTATCTGTGTACACACACCTAACACACACGCACACAACTAACAAACACACCAAGCACACACACACACACACTCACAGCACACACACAGCACACACAGACACACACAGCTGTCTCACCTCTCCTGATTCGGGACTCTCTGACGTCCTCACAGACTCGCTCAAAGTCTTCATCCAGCTCGTCTCTGATCATGGCGCGCACTGTGTCCTTCAGGGCGCACGCCCGGTGACGGATGTGACGGTCTGATAGGCACACACACACACACACACACACACACACACACACACACACACACACACACACACACACACACACACACACACACACACACACACACACACACACACACACACACACACACACACACACACACACACACACACACACACACACACACACACACACACACACACACACACACACACACACACACACACACAGTTACACATATATTAGAGGCAGATATTGTCCGTCCGATGACAGATGATGA